GGCCAAAATCATTTTTGCCTGCGAGTAAAATACACATTTAATGTCACATTTAGCCTGGTTTATCACGCTATTCTACAAGCACTGGTGGGGATTGTTTTATGTATATTATTTTTTTCTTCTTAGCATTTAAATTAAATTTATTATATTTAATACATAATAATGTATTAATTAACTAATAAAATAGTTAAATAATAAATAAATTATCAAATTATTATCTAACTAATAAATAAATCAATTATTTATTAGTAGATAGACCATCACAAACAAAATGTAGAACATGTACAGATGAACTATAAAACTTGTGAACGTGAAAGGGAGTATTGGGAAATGATGGAAATATAAAGGATATTAACCGATTAAATAAAGCATTAATCATTTATCTACAGAATACAAAATAAAAAAAATAGAATTTGATGTACAGTAATGTTACTACACACTCATGTACAGTAGGTGGCGGTATGCATTTTAAAGTTGCCTGCGATCCGCCATAATAGAAAAGAACAAGAAGAAGACAATCACGAACCTTTCTATACCAGTAGGTGGCGGTAATGCTATTAAAGGTTTGTTGCCAACCGCCAATATATCAACGAAGAAGAAGAAATTAAGAAAGCAGAAAGAGGGGGTCGTGGTGAAAGGTAAAGGACGTGCACTTTAACCAAATGCCGTTAGGTTTAAATTAAATAGCTTTCACATTCAGCTGTCCTCCATGGCAGCTCAGCTCCGCGCTGTGGTCTCCTCCCGGTGGTTAGCTAACGCTGTTAAAACCAATCTCATCGGCCCTAAACTTTGTGTCCTGGATGGATCCTACTTTCCAGTTGGCAAACGGAACCCCAGAACCGAGTTCAACCAGAAACACATCCCGGGAGCCTCGTTTTTCGACCTGGATGAATGCTGCGACAAAAGGTTCCGTTCATGGAACATGCTGCCGACCTCCAGCGACTTCTCCCGGTATGTGGGAGACCTCGGCATCGGGAACGACACCCACGTTATCGTCTACGACACCAGCGACATGGGTTCGTTCAGCGCCCCCAGAGTGTGGTGGATGTTCCGGGTGTTCGGGCACGGCTCGGTGTCGGTGCTGGACGGAGGGTTGAAGAACTGGCTGGCTGAGGGTCACCCGGTGACCTCCGACTGCAGCAAGCCGGAGCGGAGAGACTTCCAGGCGGAGCTCAATCAGTCCTGGGTGAAGAGCTTTGAAGATGTGATGGAGAACATCAAGACCAAGAAGGTCCAGGTGGTGGACTCCAGACCTGCTGGCAGGTTCCAGGGAACCGAACCAGAAGCCAGAGAAGGTGAGAAATGCGTTATTTTACTGGAGTTATGATCGACTAACAAATACGTGCCTATCAAGATAAAGTTAAATAATATTTACTCATATATTCCTCCTCCTTTACCTTGATGCTCTTAATTTAAACCCAGAAACCAACAGATTAATAATCTACATGTGCAAAACTGGCTCCAGCTGCTCTATAAATAGATTAGAAGTTTGTTGGAGAACATCTTGATTGAAACCAAATTGTTAATTTTGAAACTGTCATTATTTTTTTCTATTATGTTTGAAATAAACATTTATTATTTTATATTTTAAAATCTAAAAATACTTCAAATA